CCCCATAGAAGCTGTGGCTGGAGGACTCCAGGCTGACTGAGGAGGGCACTGCAGGCAGTGCTGGACCCCCAAGTACTCCACCCGGGAGCGGCTACTGTGGACCTGACTGCCACTAAGAGCCTTCTGCTCCCGAGGGCTGCCCCTGCACTGCCCTTTCATCCCCTCTCCTCCCACACTGTCCTGTGCACCAGACATCCCCACACACCCTGCACACACACTTACTGCACAGGGGCCTTGTGGCAAGGCTGAGGGATAAGAGCGTCTGCAAATGTGCCGCATAAACTGCGGCAGGGATCAGAGGCTCTGATCGTATGAAAATGTGTAAAGTGGGTTTTTAAAACAACTGGAGACAGCTCTTGTTCTGTCTCGCCCAGGAAGGCAGAGGCTGTGATTTAGAAGTGGTCCAGGACCGGAGCTACAGCGCAGAGCCACAGCACCAGAAATGACCTGGCTCCTACCACACGTTCCCGTGGCAGCTCGTCTCAGCCCTGTACTCCATGCTACGTCTCCCCTTCTGGGGCCCGGAGACGGGGTGAGGATGTGGTCGGGACCCCAGGGGCCCACGGCTGCAGCATGAGATCACCTGGGTTTGTTTGTCACACACAGGGCCCTGGTTCGGCATGTGCTCATACCTTCCGCATCCCCGAGCTCTGATGGGTGCCAGGACCATGGGACCTGCCCGGGCCAGGCCTGAGGGAGGGAGGGAGGCAGCTGGGCCAGGCTGGGCTGGGCTGTGCTGCGCTGGGGGCTGGGGGCTGGGGACTGCTTGGGCCAGGAACTCCGCAGAGGCGCCTGCTGGACTTTGATAAGCTATGCTCTTCTGTGCTGCTCTCAGCACTCTCAGATCGGCCTGGAGAGCAGGGAGCAGCCGGCAGAGGCCAAGCTGCGAGCTCCTCCTGGGGTCCGGATGCGCACCGCAGCCTGCGCTCCCGGGAGGGAGACCCGGCCTTGGAGCCCAGCTGTGAGAGCGGGAGGTCGGACGCAACTGTGGCGCACAGAGGCTGAGCAGTGCGTCTGTGGAGAGAGCCAGCCGTCGGGGACCGTTTCTCAGCACAGAGGACTCCGATCCCCAGGGCCCGGCTGAGCGCCTTGCTGGGCTCGCACAGCCCCTGCCCGCCGGGGTGGGGCCACGTGGGCACCAGAGGCCGAGCTCTACACACAGCAGAGTCCGTGGTCTGTGCCCCTGGAGCTGCGTCCCAGCACCTTTTAGTGCTGAGCCTTCTTCCTGGAGGAGTTTTGGTAGCAGATATCCCGGGTGTGTGAGAGAGGACTGCTGCCCCGAGGCGGGCATAGCTGTCAGGCTGGGAGGATTGCGGGGTAAAGCTTCCCTCCGTGCTGGCCTCCTGGGACTGCTCCACAGGGCTGGCCGGCCCTCTGCCTGGCCTGTAGCCGCCTCCGGTCTGCTCCACACACAGGTGCGCGTGGCGTGCCATCCGGGACACTCAGCCAGTGCCTCAGCCCCGTCCCCGCTCCAGGTCTTACAGATGCGGTCAGAGCCCACCGGGGGCCCTGGGGGCCGCAGTGCCCTGCAGCGGCTGCCTCAGTTCCCTAACAGTGGCTGCCCGGGCCCCAGGCCTCCCGTGCGGAGTTTGGAAATATTTGCAGCCCAGCTTTTATAAAGTGACATATAAGAAAGGTGGCTACTGAACACGCTTATTCTGAGCAGCGCTGTCTCCTTTCTAGCCATGCTTGTTTCAGCTGGGGTGCCCCAGTACTGTGACTGCTCTTACAGAGGAACAGGGAACAGGAAGTGGAGGAGGAACAGGGCTGCGTTCAGGGGTTTCCAAGGCCGTGCTCCAGGGACAACCTTGGCCTTTGGGACAGCGCCGCTGGATGAGGGAAGCATTTGTCGTGGGCCTCAGAAGTCATATTTCTTCTTCCTCTCCATACTATGGTCATTTCCATTGTCTTTTCCAAAATAATTTTTTCCCCTGAGGAACTGGTCATTGAACCCAAAACTTTTCCACTGAGTTACATCCCCAGGCCTTTCTTATTTTGAGACAGTGTTGTACTAAGATCCCCAGGCTGGGTTCAAATTTGCGATTCTCCTGCCTCAGCCTTCTAGAGTGCTGGGATGGCAGCATACACCACCATGCCCCCCCCCACCAGTATGATTTTGTGGAATATTCCTTTTACCAGGAAGTCATTGTACTCTCTTTCTGTCCACCTAATGATTACATTATTTTATAGCATTATACCAGGATACTGATTGCACCCCCATATAGGCCTATTTCTATGACATATTTATAATATTGTAGAATAGCATGTCATAGACGTTATATGTTATGTAAACATTGTTTCAAGTAAAGCATGTTTCCTCATCACCAGTGCCCGGTTCCTTAACCTCGGTCTTGTTTGCTCTTTCTCTGCACCTGGCAGACTCGCTTTCCTGCACGCTGCCCCACATGAGGTGCTCCACGGGCACAGCATCCTTCTTCAGACGCCTCCCCCCTCCTCACCGCAACCGCATGAGGAAGGCACGGTTCCTCCCGAGTGGCAGGTTCCGCACAGAGGAGCATGGTCCGTGCTGGGTGACTCAGACCTGGGGACTGGAAGGGAGCCCAGAGCCGGCACCATGGCATCGCTTGCTGCCCACCACACCACGGGGCGGCGGGGCCCAGCCGCAGGCTGCACGCTGCTGCACCAGGGCAGAAACTCAGGACCCGCATGTCCCTGAGGGCTCCCTGGCCGCTGCCACTTGAAGCTGTCAGCGCTGTGGTTGCCACCTGCATGTGGCCGAGCTGCAGGGTGTCCCTAACGCCTCACAGCCCGGGGGAGAAACCCTTTCATTTGCACAGAAGCACCTCTGTCAGCCTAAACCATCCAGGACGGTTTCTCTGTAGAAGGCGTGGGACGCCTTATAAGCTTAGGCGAGGGGCTCTCGGGAGGGGACGGGTTCATGGAGCTTGGAGCTGACTTGCTGGCTGGAAGAAGAAGGTCACCCAGCTGTGACCTTCGCAGGGTTCATCTTCCCCTGGCTCCTCCCTTCACCCTGCCTCCTGTCCTCCATCCGCATGAGCAGCTCTCCTCCACCTGGCCCCTCTGCCGTGCCGCCCTGCTTTGGATCCACTGACCAGGAACTGCCACCTCTACCTTGTGAGCCAAAATAAACCCCTCCTCCTTTAACTTGAGGGTGTTGGGGATGTGTGTCAGTGACAAGAAAGTGACTAAGGCTCTGTCGCATCTGGGGGAAGGACATCAACATTCAGATACAAGTGGGACACAGACACTCGGCCTGCTGCTGAGGCCGCAGGCTGTGAGGCCTCTGCCCTGCTGTGGCTGTTGTGCTCATGAGAGCCGTGCACATGGATGCTTGCTGGAGAGGCAGCTCACAAAGGGGAGGCAGGCACCGTGCTGTGGCTTCCCTCACCGCAAAGCTGTGGGACCAGCTCCTAGCGCACCAGCAGGGAGGAACATGAGGGGGAGGAGTCGTGCAGTGTCTGCCTTTCAGTCTTCGAGGTGACTTCCCTGAGGCTCTGCTCCATCCCCTCAAACTGAAGTCCCATCCTGCTCTGAAGGTCCCAAACAGGGCCCTTGCTCCTCCCCTTGGACTATCACAGGCGGAGCTCTTCCCGCTGTGCCCCAGCTCTGGGGTACTCATATTTGCTCACAAGCATGAGGCCCACATCAGAATTCACACCCTTCCCAGGGCCTTGTGGATACCAGGTCCTAGAGACATGCGTGTGGAATAGAGGACTGCCTTTTATACTGAAATATTTAAGATAACTGTAAAACAAATTCCTTTTACTGGGAAATTATGGACTAATATTGGACAACATGGACAGACACTCAGTTCTTGGGTTGCCTTCATATTTCATCAACTTGTAACCTTCAAAGAACGACTGTGTCACCTTTGGGTTTAGACGATACTGTGATGTGTCCTCAGATTCCTGCAAATCAGTTTTCCCAGGGCACAGAATTGAAAGGTCGAAGCTTGTCAGAACTTATGGTATCAAATATGTGCAAAATGGATTTCAAGACAACCAGGTTTTAGAACTACTTCCTAGTATAAAAGTTTAACAAACAGATAGCTTGATATTTCCATTGCTTTCCTGGAAGTAATAGAGTAAAATAAATTCTGACTGAATATGGACGGATACCAATTGGTGTAGATAATCTGTGCAGTTCATACACACACACACACACACACACACACGTATGTACATGCGTCCCTCTGACATTCACCTTGAAAATCCAGTCCACCTAACAAGTGGTCTGAGAGGGATCTTTCCAAACTAGCAATAGCAGAATGTAAAAAAAAAAAAAAAAAAAATTAAACAGAGGAAGCTTGAGTCAAGCTTCTTATTGAGAAGAAACCACAGTTTACCAACCAAAAATTATTTATAAATGGACCCAAGCCATTCATTATGTACTAGACGTGCAACCATTTGTTAATGAGTAGGGCTCAGGCCAAGCCTCTCCGTCGGGGTTCAGTTCCCAGGGTGTGGAGAGCACTTTCTCCTTAGAAACCCTTTCCTGCACATGGGGCGGAGGCACGGGCCCCAGGCACCCCTCTGCACGTTCTGGCACGCTGTGATTGTTGCCTTTTGGTAATAGGTTTCCAGTAGTTTCATTTATTTTTTGTAATTATCTTAAAAAGAAATGCTATGGCCAAGCCAGGTGGCAAATACAAAATGCCATGCAAAAAGTCTTCTGTAAAGCGAGCATGCTTTGGACTGTCCATAGTAAAATTGGCAGGATAGTAAAGTGATGCTAAGGAGAGGGCTGCTCACCACCCAGTGGCCCAGGGCCTGCATCTGCTCCAGTGGGAGCCACAGGGACAGAGGATGGCCCCGTCTCCCAGCTGTCGACAACTGGCTACATGCTTTGCACCCTCTTCAGCTGTGTTTCTGGGGCAACAAAACTTGGAACCCCCGCCAGAGCAAACCTCAGGGGTCTGTGTGGTCTTGTTCTGCTCGGAAACAGGTGTGTAGGGAGATAATTGCATAGCTAAGCCCTCAGAGACCTAGGTAGGAAAACGAAGCATTCTTCTTCCTTACTTTTAACCGTGAGGTACATGGACTTGCTGACGTCCGCGCCCACATCGTTGCTGACCTTGCAGAGGTAGTACCCGCTGTCTTCCTCCACGACGTGCTTGATCAACAGCGACCCATTGCTGAGGACCTGGATGCGGCCGTTCAGGGGGATTGGCTGGAACTGGGGCACCCCAGCACCTGGAAGAGGGAGGAAGAACCGTGATGCAAACGTGAATGAGCAAGGGAGAGGGCGCGTGGGCGCCTCTGGACGAGGGGAAGTTAGCCTCGGGTGACGTGGAGGGTTTCTCCCTTCCTTCCAGCCCTGAAATTCCTGTTTGGAGAAAAACACATTTATTTAAAACGATAGCATTTCAAAGTCAGAGATTAAAAAAAAATAAGAGTGCTTAAAGATGGTTTCTACGGAAAAAGCTGAACTTGATGAGTGTTAAGTAGCTGATAAATTATTCAAAGACTTCCCAGTAGTAGTAGAAGTAGACATCTCTCAAAGTACTAAATAAATTCCTCCTGTTCTCAGGGACTTTTGTGAGTGTAAACCCAGCAGTGCTCCAGGCATGCAGCATTTGAAGTCTTAGCTTGGCTCGCACAAGTGAGGCCAGAAGAGAAAGCAGGGATTGCAGACTTCCTTCGAAGTGGGCTTATGTTCCAGCGGAGAGACACTGTGCACTGTTGATGTCACTTAACGCTATTTACCTAAGTGTGTCAGGTCACTGTATGAACATGCAGAGCTAGCCCAGCGCTTTTCTCCTGGGATCCCAGGCAGGAAGAGGACGGCACAGATGGGACATGCTAACATCACAGAGGGGAGGGGGCTCATATGACAGATGCATGTGAAACTCATGAAAAGAAAGCATTTCAGGAAAAATGGACCAGAGGAGAAGGCCCTGAGGGATGGCTAGGAAAACTGGTGTGGATCAGCCTGGCCCCCTGCCGGCCCTGTTCCTCCAAAGGAAGGCTTCTCTCTCTTTGCCTGGAGTTGGGAGCCTGCAGTGGTGGGTCCTGGAGCGAGGTGTGTGGGTCTTCCTGCAGGAGCTCACAGTGTGTGCTGAGGCAGGTGCTGGGGAGGAGCTGCTGGACAGGCCCCCTGCAGGGAGGACACTGATGGGAGGAGGGAGACGACCTCCTCACTCTAACACCCAGCTGATAACCTGCAGCCTGGTGGTCCTGAGCTCCAGGTGGCAAACTGTGGTTGGGCCTTCCCTGAATCACGGCAGAGACACAGGAAGTGGGCCATGCACCCAGGAGAACTTCCTCACCGAGTAACAGCAAAGGCACTCTCTTTGGTTAAGGCTGCAGAGAGCGAGAAGAAAGTGCTTTCCTTATCCTAGCAAGGCAAAACTCTGTTAATCTGCAAAATTACATTTGTCTTTGATTAAATCAGAAATTTCGAGTCGCAGACAACTGGTAAACTTGAAAAGAGGTTCGAGCTATACAAAGTAATTCACCTTTGCCACATGATAGAGGGAAGAGGTCAGGGCATACAATCCGGTGAAAACTAAAGAATTAGAAATAACTGCAACTTAGTGCACTCTCTACAGTTCTTCTCCCTCTTCCTCTGTCCCTCTGCCTCCCTTTCCTCCCCTCCCCTCCTGCATAGTACCCACAACCTTCGCACCAAGTGACATCCCTCTCCTGGTTTCTTTTTTATTTTGATACAAGGTTTGTGTGTCACCAAGTTGCCCAGACTTGGCTTGAACTTGTGATAGTTCTGCCTCAGTTTCTTAGAATGCTGGGATTGTAGGCATGCACCACCATGCCGGTTTCTTTACTCTTCTTTTTTACATGTAATTACCAGAACCCAATAGAAAATTATGAGACACAGACAGAGAGAGAGAGAGAGACAGAGAGGGGGGGGGAGAGAGAGATTGAGAAAATCAAAGAAAAACATCAACAGATCCCTAAAAGGAAAATCTAGAACTACTGGACAAGGACTTTATAATCATTATGATTAATATGCAAGAACACATGAAGGAATTCAGATGAAATATGAAAACTATAAAAAAGAAATGGACACAAAACCATAGGAACAACAGATACAGCATTAGTTACAGTTTAGATGTGGAACATCCCCCTCAGTCTCTTGTGTTCAGAGCTGGGGCTTTCGGAGGGTGATTGGATCATGATGCACTCATCACTCAAGAGTCCAGAGCTAAGTATGCTGTTAGGAGGGAGTTGGGTGTGTGTGTGTGTGTGTGTGTGTGTGTGTGTGTGTGTGTGTGTGCATGTGACTGGGGGTGTGGCCTGGAAAGATGTGTCTCCTGCCTTGCTCCTCTCTTCTCTCTCTCTCTCTCTCTCTCTCTCTCTC